GAATCCTCAATCAAAGCCTTTGACTCAAAAGCCTGACCGCACGACAGTGGGTGGATGCTGCCACACTACCAGAGTAGTACAAGTTTTTTTAAGGAACAAGTCACCGTGAGAGATAGACCAAGTGGTTAGCGTTCGGATTCACTGACCGGAAGGTCCGTGGTTCGAACCCGACCTCTGCCTCTCTACTTCCCCTGTCTAGAATTGAGCAACCTGACAGTATCCCAGCCCTCGTGCCTCCTTCGCGTGGCATGGCAGCTAGACACCGAAGTGGTGCTACAGCTGGACGATTTTTTTCGAGTCGCCTTTCCTTTTCTAACCCACAACATGGAGGACCAGAGGACTATGTTAGTCGGAAATCTATCTACTTAAAACCTGGCATGAGAAATTAGTGTCAAAATGGAGGACCAGAGGACTATGTTAGTCGGAAATCTATCTACTTAAAACCTGGCATGAGAAATTGTGCTAGTGTCAAAGAGAGCCGCCCTCTCAAAGGATAAGGATACGGTAAGTCATAGAGGTACATAACCTGCGACAATAAGATCAGGCTAGTTTCCATACACTGTTGTATCAATCTCTGTAGGATGAATCTCATGTATGACTTCATAATCGCAAAGAACTGGTGACAGCACAACTGAGTGGTCACTGCCCTCATGACTGTGTTCATTGCCTTGTGGTCATGCTTTTGAACCAAAGGCTCTGATTTCGCCCGAGTCGTTGTCGGTAAAATGACCCTTGAAGCGTGACTTTTGCTAAATTCCATCCTGTTTCTCCTGATTTACAGAGTCCTCGGTGCGCACAAATGTGGATGCACACTCAAAGTGAGTTTTCAGAAGTAAATGACTTTTTAGCTGAGGAAAACCAGCTATACCGCGATGCCATACACGTGTGAACTAAGCAGCTGATTTTTGGGTTTCAAGTCACGTGCCAGCACGATATATCCACGAAGGACTAATACTGTAGATTTTATGGCCTAATTTGGTGTCCATCAAAGTGCACCAAAGTACTTGGTTGCCTTATTGTGATCGTTATCATCCATAACGAACTATTCCGCTGACGTATTTCATTCTTTACATCACTGAGTTATTAAGTAGGAACACCAGTCGTTGACCACATCGGGCAAATTTATGGAAGCGCGCATCCACATGATTAGTTTTTGCAGCACCAAAACAATTCAATCGCTTATCTGGCAAGATTTGTTCAGCCCACACTTTCGCATACAGTTTTATGGAAGTTACCAGAACTTGACATGTCCATAGCAGTCTGAATAAGCTTACTACAAATATCGCTACTTTGTGTTTACTGATGATTCACTTGACCAGACTTTTTCAATCCAGTAGGTTTGGTGGTACGGAGTAAGATGGCTCAAATGGTTAGAGCGCGAATTTACTGACCGGAAGGTCCGTGGTTCGAACCCGGCCTCTGTCTCTCGACTCCTCCTGTCTAGGCTTGGGCAACCTAGCAGTATCCCAGCCCTCGTGCTTCCTTCGGGTAGCATGGCAGCTAGGCACTGGAAGGGTGTTACAGCTGAACGATTTTTTATGATGATACAGAAGTTAAAACCAGGGGTTCCCCCTTAGTGTTCCGTTGTACACCGTGGTGTATGGGTTTCTGTTTGGGGTTAATCTAGCTTCTTGAACCAAATGTTCGTCTTCTCATCTCCATACATCGTTCTTTCTAGGCGCGATCCTGCCAGTTCTCAGGACGCCGATCGGACAGGTATGTTGAGCTTTCTCAGATCATTTTTTGCATGTTTCAGTCTTTTCGTTAGTCGCGTTAGTCGCTTGCAACGCCATGTTATATCTTGCTGTCGACACTATGGCGGTTTGGCCTACCTGTGTTTATCGAGACTCAGCAGACGAATCGGATATTGATCCCACCGTATGCTAACTTGTTGACCGAAGGTTCTTGATTCAAAACAGCCCTTGTTCTAACGGCACTTTTTCCCGATTTGCTTTACTGCGTTCTGCTTTCAAAATTTCTCCATTTCTGTGTCGTCTGGCTTCCGTTGAATAACCATATGGACCTCCCGAGCAGTGGAGACCGATTTACCTACTCAGCACCGTCTGGTTTGCGTTGCTAATATATTTTTGTTCGAACTCCAACCTCAATGCACACAAGAAACACTGTACCAACTATCCAGAAGCAAGCCTGTCTAAATAAGCTGGCAGGCTGCGCCCTGATTGGTCAGCAGGTCAGCCAATCAGGATCGAGCAGTTACAGCTCAGCACTTCTCACCCCCTGATGAGAATGCTAGCAACCACAACACCGACAGTGTTTATTATTGAGTAAATTCTACAAGCCTGCGCAGAACAAACTGACAGAATGGCGACTCAGTAGTATGATGCATAAGAAACGAGATTGTTGGCGTAGGGTACAGGTACACAACACAAGTAATCTGTCCGAGTGCTCAAAACACCAACACACGTTTCCTCACCTTCGTCAGACGAACAAACCGCGTCTCCAATGTCAAGTGAGTACAAACTGAAAAGCAGTTGTTGGCGTGAGTTTCATCATCTGTAGCAGCAAGCCCTGGTCCCACATACAGAACGTCTAGAACAACTTGGTGTATATTCCACCTGTCCTGTCCAAACCTGTTCTGTCCAATAGAAATTGTCACTGGTGCTGTATCCTGGAAATGCCTTAGCTCCTCTCGCCTGTTCTTCATAAGCTTGCCTCTGTTTGATTAGAAAAGTCTACTCAATGAGACCCAAAGATGGCTGGAATTGATAGCGGATGTTTCGAATTTTCATCGACGTTTTTAGTAGTAGCACTGAGGATTGCCTTCTTTTCTCTCTCTCTCTCTTGTACAGTTCCCTCTGATAGCAAATGTCTGAAGGACCGGAGTTTTGCCACAGACTGTTCTGTGCTATCCAACGTGTCCAGCGCAAAACGAGATGACAAACGGTAATGTCCATTTGTTTTCCGGCATCTCCCACTTTCAACCGTGATTTTTGAGGTGTTTTATTAGGTTTTACTACTTATAACAATTTCCATAGATTTATGAAATTACACTGACCAATGATTTCGTTTGAGAATCCCAAACAGTACGGTGCAGCGTCCTAGGTTTGTCGTTTGGGATATGCATCACGGAAAATAACATCAAGAAACCTCTTGTTTCTGGCTTTCTAACGAAACGGTGTACTCATCACCCAATCGCCTGGTCGTTTTGTTCTTTCCAAATCAGTCTGCGTTGTTCGGGTGATGGACTTCTGCCTGTTGGTGCGCTCTTTTGGATAAGCCAGTGTGCGCTAACCCTTCGGTCAACGCCGAAACGTCAGTTTACCTTTGTTCGTGACGTATTTAGTTGAATTACGGTTCCTTTCTAGTGTTTCCGTCAATGATACTCCTCTCGTCAGTGAGCGATCTGGTCTACCTGATTAGGCCTCCTGATTAGGCCATTTAATTCATTCGACCATTCGTACTGGTCTCCCCACAGTTCCGGTCGTCTTAGCCCTCGGATCAAAGACTCTGTCGCCACCGATAAAGTTACTCGACTGTCTTCAGCGTACTGCGCAGATGACAACCAGTCGGATACTGGCGTCAGAAGCGAATCTACTGAGCTTATCACATCCGATCTCCCTTCACCAACTCGACGGACGGACACCAGTGAAGTACAAGTCTCCATTCGTGAGCCAGTGAAGCGTCGTTCTGTGCAGCGAAAACGAACCTTGAACGCCAGCCGTGACCCTGCTCTGAAGAAACCTGTTGCCAAGTTGTCTCCGGCACGCAGACCATGCACTAGGAAGTGCAAAGGAAACAAGCATGTTCCGAGCAAGCTTCAGCTCCCGCTTGGTTCCGCCATCTCCAGTTCAAGCGGCTCATTGCCAAAGAATTGCTCGAATGGACCATTTAACTCCTCCCGTAGTCGTTCAAGACGTTTGAGATCGCGTAATTACAAATCTACTCAGAGGACTGCAAGAGGGGTGAGTTGAGCGTCATTTTTTGGTGTGCGGTCATGGTTCAACTACGGATACTACTGGTGAGGTATGTGAGTAGTATGTGGTTTAATTGTAACCCTGATGTGACAAGCCACTAACATGCTTCCTAACGTCTGAAACAAATGCCTTTGGGCTTACCATTCCTTTGCATATTTTGAAGTCTGCTGTCTTCACTGTCTTTACTCCCCTAATTTTTTTTACGTTTATCGTACTGGCATGTTGGGACCCACCTAGTAAGCTCGTGACATGCATGCAGTTATTTGTGTATGTGAGATCGGCTAGTCCATATCTCTTATAGCCAGATTGTATATGAATGGTTGCGCGTTCGAATCGATCTTTTATCATCGAAATTTTTCAAGGACGCTGACTTTTTCAATTTGCTAATTGGTCCACACTCTTATGCTCCGTTAATTTCTGGAGGCTGATCGCCACACGACGCGGGCAGGACTCCGTGTTCACCCCGACTATTGATCTACCAGTATTCGGTGTCTACGCTTTTTTGATCAAGGACAGAGCCCCGCACATAAGGTTGGAGGACCATACAGGTCCAGTCAGCCAGTCAAGACTTTGTGCGGCATAGTTCCCTGAGCGCAGCTTAGCAGTGCGCGTCACAAGAAACGATGAACAAGGCTGACTTTTATTTCATATATGTGAAAAGTTTGAAATTCATCCATACGATCTTGCTTGAACTGTCGTTATCTGAACAAGAGTAGTTCCTCAGAATCACCAACTCGCTCTGCGGTTATTTTTACTGGCCGAAAGTTAACATATTTTTTGTGCTACCTTTTCACACACTGGCCAACCTTCAGAGAACGTGTTTCGTTCAACCCGGCTTGTTTACATGTTTGGCGAAAATACTGTGTATTTTCGAACCAACCTAACAGGATGGACTTCAACCGTTGCACATGTCCTTTTGGTGAAAATTCTATCAATTCAATTCATCCACCAACAAGTACCCTGTATCCTGGAAATGCCTTAGCTCCTCTCGCCTGTTCTTCATAAGCTTGCCTCTGTTTGATTAGAAAAGTCTACTCAATGAGACCCAAAGATGGCTGGAATTGATAGCGGATGTTTCGAATTTTCATCGACGTTTTTAGTAGTAGCACTGAGGATTGCCTTCTTTTCTCTCTCTCTCTCTCTTGTACAGTTCCCTCTGATAGCAAATGTCTGAAGGACCGGAGTTTTGCCACAGACTGTTCTGTGCTATCCAACGTGTCCAGCGCAAAACGAGATGACAAACGGTAATGTCCATTTGTTTTCCGGCATCTCCCACTTTCAACCGTGATTTTTGAGGTGTTTTATTAGGTTTTACTACTTATAACAATTTCCATAGATTTATGAAATTACACTGACCAATGATTTCGTTTGAGAATCCCAAACAGTACGGTGCAGCGTCCTAGGTTTGTCGTTTGGGATATGCATCACGGAAAATAACATCAAGAAACCTCTTGTTTCTGGCTTTCTAACGAAACGGTGTACTCATCACTCAATCGCCTGGTCGTTTTGTTCTTTCCAAATCAGTCTGCGTTGTTCGGGTGATGGACTTCTGCCTGTTGGTGCGCTCTTTTGGATAAGCCAGTGTGCGCTAACCCTTCGGTCAACGCCGAAACGTCAGTTTACCTTTGTTCGTGACGTATTTAGTTGAATTACGGTTCCTTTCTAGTGTTTCCGTCAATGATACTCCTCTCGTCAGTGAGCGATCTGGTCTACCTGATTAGGCCTCCTGATTAGGCCATTTAATTCATTCGACCATTCGTACTGGTCTCCCCACAGTTCCGGCCGTCTTAGCCCTCGGATCAAAGACTTTGTCGCCACCGCTAAAGTTACTCGACTGTCTTCAGCGTACTGCGCAGATGACAACCAGTCGGATACTGGCGTCAGAAGCGAATCTACTGAGCTTATCACATCCGATCTCCCTTCACCAACTCGACGGACGGACACCAGTGAAGTACAAGTCTCCATTCGTGAGCCAGTGAAGCGTCGTTCTGTGCAGCGAAAACGAACCTTGAACGCCAGCCGTGACCCTGCTCTGAGGAAACCTGTTGCCAAGTTGTCTCCGGCACGCAGACCATGCACTAGGAAGTGCAAAGGAAACAAGCATGTTCCGAGCAAGCTTCAGCTCCCGCTTGGTTCCGCCATCTCCAGTTCAAGCGGCTCATTGCCAAAGAATTGCTCGAATGGACCATTTAACTCCTCCCGTAGTCGTTCAAGACGTTTGAGATCGCGTAATTACAAATCTACTCAGAGGACTGCAAGAGGGGTGAGTTGAGCGTCATTTTTTGGTGTGCGGTCATGGTTCAACTACGGATACTACTGGTGAGGTATGTGAGTAGTATGTGGTTTAATTGTAACCCTGATGTGACAAGCCACTAACATGCTTCCTAACGTCTGAAACAAATGCCTTTGGGCTTACCATTCCTTTGCATATTTTGAAGTCTGCTGTCTTCACTGTCTTTACTCCCCTAATTTTTTTTACGTTTATCGTACTGGCATGTTGGGACCCACCTAGTAAGCTCGTGACATGCATGCAGTTATTTGTGTATGTGAGATCGGCTAGTCCATATCTCTTATAGCCAGATTGTATATGAATGGTTGCGCGTTCGAATCGATCTTTTATCATCGAAATTTTTCAAGCTGACTGACTTTTTCAATTTGCTAATTGGTCCACACTCTTATGCTCCGTTAATTTCTGGAGGCTGATCGCCACACGACGCGGGCAGCCGTGTTCACAATTGGTCCACACTCTTATGCTCCGTTAATGTCTGGAGGCTGATCGCCATAGGTTACGACGATAGGACACGACGCGGGCAGGACTCCGTGTTCACCCCGACTATTGATCTACCAGTATTCGGTGTCTACGCTTTTTTGATCAAGGACAGAGCCCCGCACATAAGGTTGGAGGACCATACAGGTCCAGTCAGCCAGTCAAGACTTTGTGCGGCATAGTTCCCTGAGCGCAGCTTAGCAGTGCGCGTCACAAGAAACGATGAACAAGACTGACTTTTATTTCATATATGTGAAAAGTTTGAAATTCATCCATACGATCTTGCTTGAACTGTCGTTATCTGAACAAGAGTAGTTCCTCAGAATCACCAACTCGCTCTGCGGTTATTTTTACTGGCCGAAAGTTAACATATTTTTTGTGCTACCTTTTCACACACTGGCCAACCTTCAGAGAACGTGTTTCGTTCAACCCGGCTTGTTTACATGTTTGGCGAAAATACTGTGTATTTTCGAACCAACCTAACAGGATGGACTTCAACCGTTGCACATGTCCTTTTGGTGAAAATTCTATCAATTCAATTCATCCACCAACAAGTACCCACACACGCGATATATGAATATTTGTATGAATATCCTTTTTCTCTGATAGGTAGATGATCGGGCGAAGAAAACCAGTTCCAACACGTCTCAGTGCGCTGCTCTTCTTATACCTGATTCTGTGGAGCTCCAACATCCGCCCACGATACATTCCCATCAACTAGATTTTCCTCCTTGTGGGAGTCCTGCACACAGCCACCGATCGCCAAGCCCTGTCTCAGCTGCGACAGAGTCGACCCCGAAGCGTCGTTCGTCCGAAGGAGGGGAGTCTTGTTGTTATGACTCACCCTCGACCTATCCACCGCCCACAGTATCTCCCCAACGTCGAAGTCCTTCGCCTGTCGTAGTGTTGGACACCGTGGATGATGAGGAAGACGATCCGGACGATGATGACGATGATGATGGTGAGGATGATTTAGATGAGGACGAAAGGAATCAGGCGGTGAATTTGTCTGAGGCACAGCCAACAGATCCGAGATCCATTGTGGCAGATCTTATCAAAACTCACGGTCTTTTTTTCCCGGAGTGGATCGATATTCCTCAGGTTTGTATCCATTGCTTGGTATCTGATAATTGTGCTTTTGCTTATGGGGTTTTCTCGGGAGGTTTATTGTTCAGTTTCACGTCACTCTCGTATTGAACAGTCACCCTCCTATCCCGGAGCAATTATTCATGTGAATCCACAATAAAGGGGGGAAGCACTGGAATAGTGGCAACACGTTCGCCTCGCATGTCAGGTGTCCGGAGTTCAAACCCCGGCACGGCTATTGGATATGCACTGCTGATGAGCTCTAACAAGAGCCAAACTCGAGTCCAGTGCTTCCCCCCCCCTTTGGTGTGGATTCACATGAATAATTGCGGGGAGGACGACTGTTCAGAACGCGAGTGATGTGAAACTGAACAATTGTGCTTTTCTTATTGTTTGTACTCTGGACGTTTCGCCTGCAACTGGAGAATGGTAGTCCATTGTTTTATGCGTTGTTTTCAAAGTCAACTGAGGCTCAATTCAGTGTGAATGATGACCCTCGATGTACTACTGTACGTTGCATTCGAATGAAGCGTTTGCACTTGGTGAAAAGTAGTCAGTATTGATTTTTCGTAGAGCAGGTGAGTAGGTGCACTGAACGCATGGTACGATGTACTGTGGATCCAGGATTATTGGTCGGAGGGGGTCGAGAGAGTGTGGATCCCAGATGATGTGTAGATAGATGGATAGATAGTTTCCTCATTGTGGCCTCCAAACTGCTGGCCACTTGTTGATTTCATCAGGCGGCTGCTGCTCGGCACGGGGACTGAAGTTTCTTCCACAAACCACCAAGCCACCTTAAATCAGAACCCGACCAAGATTAACTGAACGGAGTGGCCACTTGGGAGTTTGGGCAACGCATTAATGATGTGTGTAAGTTACTTTACTTTGAAATATCAATCCTTCGGTGGACGCGGAGAACGAAAATCCCAGTGCAAATCCCGTTGCATTTAGCCGGTGTAACTAAAAAGCACTTTGTCGGTCATCGCTTCTGATGGGAATCAACTTTGAGTCGACTGACTTTAGCAAGGCCTTATTGCGGTCAACTAAGTGCTACTGAAAAGTTCTTGATGTGTCCAAGTTTTTTCTCGTGTAGTGCATTCCGTAAAACAAGCTTCTTGTGGGACTTCCCGGTTGTTTCTCGAGTAAAATTCAGGTTATCCAATGTGCCTTAACAACGTCACTATGAGTAGATTTGTTTCAGTCCCCCAAATTTGGTTTTGTCATGCTTGCTTCCGGCAAATCAATCGGAGTTCACCAAATTCAACATCAACATGAGACGCACCGCATGTGGAACAGATTTTGTCACATTCTGTGTTTGATTAGAATTTTCATGGATTTGACCATCTGTTTGGATCACGTGAGGCAGAATCTTACGATAGTATTATGATTTGTGACTGGAAAAACAGCAAATTTGCCCTTAGTTTGGAAACACATATTTTCAAATCCTGGGGAACAATTTAAAAAAACNCCGTTTTGAAATTGACCAACATGCTTACTGGGAAGTATAGACAGTTAAAAATTTGTGAATTTCTCGACGTGCACGAACGTGTCGCATGGTAAAGAATTGGTTTTCGGTTTGGTAGATGTTTGCGAACACGCTGTGCGAAATATTGTCACATTAATTTGAGTGACAACCGTTTTAGAACAACTCTTAAACTCCCCTCCCCCCGTATAGGGAACACCACCCGGAAGCTGCTTCTAACTTCGAGGTACTCCTAACTTGGAGTTTCTGCTCAAAGTGAGGGTGGAGTGAAACGAGGCCGTGAAAAACTTGCCTCCTAACTACTGTCAGATTACACTTGAATTTTATGGGCGGATAGGATGGGTGAATGAATAATTTGTACTGCATGATTAAGCAAGTTCTTGCACAAAACACTGTCTCCTATCGATCCTTGAGGGGACGTTTCTCTCCAAGAACCATCTTTCATCGCGATGATGACTACTCACTCCATTATTTGCTCATGCATACCCGACATCGACTAGCAATGTTCCCCGTCCCTACTTGAACTCTGCATATTTGTGCAACCTTTTGATGCAGACTGATAGTGACTCAGACCACAACGCAAGCGATATCACAAATTGATCAATAAATTTATGAAAGGCTGTCTCACAATCGGCCAATCATGCTAAGAGATAATAGATAGTCTTCAAATTGTATGTATTTATGTTGGGAAACGTTGTAAATCAATTACCAAGTTCGGCGAACAGATCAACAGCTGCCTGACCAACATCCAGCAGGACTCAGCCTATTCGAATGTATCTGAGTTTTCTAATCGCGATGCAAATACTTGAAAATCGCAAAGACCGTGGTTCCCTAGTAAGAGGAACGTTCTATACTAGCTTAGCTTCACAATCCACTTAGTTATTGAAACCCTTTCACTTCATTCAGCCTCACTAGTAGTTGCTTCTCAACGCTGTACAGTGAAAGGAGTTATTTATTAGGGAATGCCAACTGACCGGTCACAGACCATTGGACAGGGAAGCAAAACTCTCATTTGCATCTTATTTACAAAAACTGGATATCCATCTTCTCCTGAACGCGGCTTCTTGAACTTTCCTGGATATTCATTGACTCCAATCATTCATTGCTCAAATCCAAGCAAATGTTACAAAGTGACTCCACAAATTCCGCAACAGATCTCCCCTTTTCAAAAGACGCAAAGCGAAATTCCAAGAACAGCACATACTACTCGCGTGCCTCCCCATCAGTAGCATCACCGTTACACCAGGTGTTGCCGATAGGAAGTAGTTATTCCACAGAGTTCGACGACGTGGAGCGTGCCATCAACTGGAACTTCCTTTTGAACTGATGGCTACTTTCCTGCAATATTTTCACCCATACGGTGATTCAAGGAGAGAACGGCCCGCCCACTTGACCGAATTTTAACCAATCAGGACACGCTGCACAGAATAGTACTTAATGTGCACACAGTTTTTGAAGTTGAGCGTGCCATTTTTTATACAATCTGCCCTTGTTGGTTGTAATCGGGCCGCCGAGCTGTTAAAACAACGGGTTGGCTCACAGTTCAGTGGAAGTGAACCGTTTCATCGCACTCTTTACACCACAGAGACCAAAAAGGCTTTACGCGAACATAGATTTTCTGTGAGAGTTCTTGATCCAAAAATTCCCAAGTCCCTTTTGATCAAAGCTATCAGGCTCGTAGGCTCTATCACGGGAAAGGTGGTCCTTTTGAAAGACAAATAAAGGATTATTATGGTCGTTTATTTTAAAAATAAAGCTATCTTTTATTTTTGTCCATTTCTGAGTGTCTGATTGTCGACTGGCAAGCATCACGTAGACTGCCGTGCAAGAATCCATTTGAATTAAACACACATGTAGGAATTTGTTTTTAAATAGTGCCGAGATTTTATGTTTTCGTGAAGCGCACTCAGACTATACACATTTCGTGGCTTTTTGGCACTCATCTTCAGTGCGTAGCTCTGGTATCCTAGCTATCATTTTCACACCAGACGTGCCACAAGAACTGACCAACATTTTGAGAACATTCCGGTTTTACTATATTTGTCTTTCAATATTCTCTCCACCCTTTATGTTGATCGACTGCGATTGGCTGCCACGTGGCTCTGTGTTTGCTACTAGCATTTTGCAAGTAGTGAGAATATTTACCAAAGTTCACTGTTTGACTCAGCTGCCTGGGTCCACATGTGAAAGCTGAAGCACAGTATCAGGTTTGAGTGTCTCATCGAATTCTCTGAATCGAAGATTAGGAGAACTTTCATGAGCGAACACCCGTTTCTCGTTTTCTGTCGTGACATTCCACTGCATAGGCTTCACAGGAGCGTGTAGAATTTTCGAAATGTTGAGAATACTGACATCACATTAAGTGTTCACAATTTGTACTCCTTTCGTTTATTCTCACAGGAAGCTCCTGAATATTTGGCCAAAGAACAGTTGATTCCTAATATTGAACCGCACGTGGCCGCTTGGCCTTTTATCAGTAAGTTTTTCCCGTCTCCGAAAACGAACCATTTAGGGATGTACAAACATTAAGCTGTAGTAGAGATTCAAACGAAGGATTCAGGTGAAATTCACTTTTGATACTATGTTAATTAGCCAATAAGTATTTATCGCGACGTAGGTGCAATTTGGTACAAGGTTGGCGGAGACTGGGTGACCAGTTCCAAGAAGGACAAAACCGGTGTTGGTCGGTTTAGAGTTTTCACTGAAAACCGTCGTTCATGCTTCAGAAGCGCCTAACTCACACCGCATGTCGGAAACACACGATGGGAGGCCGCGTGGTTGGAACAAGATGAAGTTGGTGAGCCTGGGATATATTCATAATGGTGGGGTGTTTTATCAAGGCTTGGTGTTTTTATCACCTAGCATGGGCTTTCCAGTTTAGGCTGGTTGTAAACATGTTAGTACTTTCTCACAAGGTACTTCTCACAAGTACTTTCTCACAAAAGTACTACTCACAAGGTTGCTGAAAACTCTTTGACAGCCCACGACCGATTTCGCCCTTCCACTTCGGGCTGATCAGGTAGGCGCAGTCCCCGAGTTTCTGTCAACCTTATG